GAAAGGACAGAGAAGCAGACACATGTGTTTCAGTCCCAATTCTGCCCCATCAGCTCTACAACCTTAAAAACCAGGTTAGTGCTCAAGGCCAGCTTGCTCTTCTGTTAAAAATTGGGAGCAGTAGACGCTGTCTGTCACCTGATACAAAAGAATGGGACCGGCCTGCCCAGCCCTGCCAGGGCGGGAGGTGGCCCCTGCAGCCAACTCACCCACCTGACCTGCCCGTCCTGGGCCGTAACTGTGGGGCTGGGTGGCTGGAGAGGCCTGCTTTATGAAACCACATTCCCACACTGCCCAGGGCCTGCTTGCTGGGGCTCTAGATGGATCCCCGACACTCAGCTACTAAAGAACCACCCAAATACCACTAAGACACAATGGGGGGATGCTGTGAGATGATGGGGACACCATGACACAGAGACAGGGGATGCCATGAGATTGGGGAGCACAGGGGACACGGAAAATACGCGACAGTGATACTAATACTAGCGTATCCGCACCGTGAGTCTCACTGCACATCCAACTCGGCACAAACACCTGCTCACTTTACGTTTAACCTGCACATAAAAAAAGAAGAAAGGAAAAGAGTTCTGGAGCTGGATGCAGTGGCTCATCCCAGCGTAGGAGGATCACTCCAAGAAAGGAGTTCAAGACCAGCCTAGGCAACACAGTAAGCCCCTGTCTGTACTGAAAAACAAAGAAATGAAAAATAAATGGGAGTTCGCGTCCTCTACTAAACAAGCATTTGTTGAGTGAATGAACGTCTCAACAGTGTCTCAAACTTTCCTAGAAAAACAAAGTCAGCATGTCAAGAACACATTCCCACATCCGTCACATGGAACCAAAGATAAGAGGGAACTGTAGGAAGTGTGCATTAGAAAGGAAAGCATGCCTCATCCTTTAACTCAGTCCTGACCAGAAAAATGTAAGCAGAGGCTACCAGCCTGAATTAGCAGAATAACAAGCGAGTTTGAGCGGAGCGAGAGGACAGATCATACGGCAGTTCCGTGAGCAAAGTGCTCAAGCACCCCTCACAGATGGGAGAGGCGTGGAGAGGCTGCCAGCATTTACACACTTGTTACAGGAAAACTGAAATTAAACAGTGGCCGTCTTTACCACTAGAAAGTGGAGTTTCCATTTCAGATGAGTCATTAGGAAGGTAAAAAATCTCTCCTTTACTATGAAGACCTTTCTGCCACTGGGTCCGAGGAGGGACACTCACACCACAGAAATGAACTGTGCTCCTGTCTTCACAGTTTTGCTTCCCACAGTCTTAGTTACCCATGGTCAGCAGTCAAAAATATCAAATGGAAAATTCCAGAAATCAGCAATTCTTCAGTGTCATACAGCACACCACTGTGAGGAGGGTGATGCCATCCCACTCCGTCTCCAGGACGTGATCACTCCTCGTCCCACAGACACGCGCTGTGAGAGCTACTTGCCCGTTAGTTATCGGCATCGATGGAGGCGTCTGACATCCAACTTCCAAGATCATCATGCTTGACGGTCTGAAATTGCCCAAAGTAGATGACCCTCCTTCCACCCGCGCAGGGAGATAGCAGCCTAGGCCACATCTCAGGGCCCAGGTCACTCAGCTCCCCTCACCTTGCCACACGGGCACTGTAGCACCTCCCGTCAGCCCCAGAAGAAGGGGGGTACAGGATGACAAGAGAGTTTGAAAGGGAGGGAGAGAGATCACCTTCACGAAACATCGCAGGATGCTGGTACACTTCTCTACTCCGTCAGGATACTGTGCCTAACTAAACCTTATCATCAGGACAGATAAAACGCGCACGTGCAGGGTTCAGCACTATCCAAGGCCTCAGGACTCCACGGGACCATGTCACATACCCCCTGCAAATGACAGGGGCTCTGTATTCCCACCATCCAAAAATAACCATTGGCTCCATTTTTAGCCCTTTTTAACCTATTTCCTTCCAGTCTTTATTCTTAGTAGAGATTCAGTTTTGTACTTTGCTTTTTGACACGACAGTGAACATATCGTATATACAATGTTAACATTTCATTGAATCCTCTAACAGTTCTCAAGCAGTGATGTTAATTAGAAGTTTGTAACTTTTAATGAGGGCATTGAGATTTCACTGTGAACAGCACTTCATCAAAGCACCTGAATCTTCCCTTATAAATGGCAATTTCATACTGTTCAGCTTACTATTCACACATTTTCATGTGCTGGTTACTTCTAATTTTTTAGGATTATAAGTACCATTATAATTAATATTCTTTTGTGTATAATGCTTTTTATAGGAATTACAGACCAAATATATAAACATTTATTATAAACCTCTAGATCAGCAGTTCGCAACCCCTTTGTAACAATGAAAATACATCCTGCATATCAGATATTTACATTACGATTCATAATAGTAGCAAAATTACAGTTATGAAGTAGCAACAAAAATAATTTTATGGTTGGGG